GCGATGGTATGTATGGTATGAATGACAAGCATATCGTTATCAATAATAAGTGGAAGTATTTGTCAGACTTTCAGATGAAGAGCATAGCCAGCAATGGGTCCTCTAATAAGACACAAATAGATACCGAATTTGAGGCAAAAGACGCCATCAATGATGGATACAATGATAGCCATGAGTCGGATGTGTCCGCGAGTCTAACGACAGTATCGACCAAAATATTGTTTAAATGCTTTGTCCGTAAAGACGGCCGACGGATGTTTGTATGCAATACTTGTGACTATGAATACGAGAGTGTGTCACAACTACACCAACACTGGGAACAAATGCACTTCCGGTCCACATATTTGAAGAGCACTTCCTTACGTGCGCTCACAGTATGGTCTGAAACGGCGCTCAAGAAGATTGTCATCAAAGACGGCAAACGGATCTTCATCTGCAAGATATGTGACATTCAATTCAAATGCGAATTTATTCTTGACAGACATTGTTATAAAAGTCACGGCCAGAAGGGCTTCCGATGCGACAAAAATGGCTGCAAATGTGAGTTACCGTCGAAAGAGGAACTGATTGCACACCAAATGCTACACTTAGTCGACGATCAGCCGATGATGTGTCCGGTCGACGGTTGCGGCCAAATGTTGAAAACACGGTTGCATTTGAAGCGACACCGACTCCTCGTCCACACTGTCTGTTATTGTAAAGCGTGTGGCAAAGAGTTTGTCGGCCATCGAGCGCTCACAGTTCACATGCATTCGCACCCGGAGTTGAGAACAAAATGTGATTTCCAGAACTGTTTGTATGAGACGGACAAAAAGACACTGATGTTAGATCACCGAAAAAGACATCTAAACGTACGAGAGTTCCGGTGCGAAGTCCCCGACTGTGGTCGCAGTTTTGTGACCTCTTATGAACTGAAAAGCCATTCAATGGTCCACAGCGATGAGCGGTCGATTGCGTGTGATTGGCCCGCATGTGAGGCCACCTTCAAGACTTTAAAATGTTTAGATAATCATAGACTTACTCACGAAGCTGTTCGGCAGTTCAAGTGTCCGGAGACCGGATGTGATAAGAGTTATGTGACCAGAGGTTGCCTTTGGGCTCATAAACAGTCTCATAGGAATGACAAACCGCACGCTTGTGTTTGGCCAGAGTGTGGACAACGGTTTGCCAATAATGAGGCGCTTAGGATTCATATGAACAAACACCAGGGGCTCCGACCCTATAGTTGTCAATACAGTGGATGTGATAAGAGTTTTAGCGGTAAACCCGGTCTCAGACAACACATGAAAGTCGTTCACAAACACAGCGTTTAGATAATTGTATGCAAATCTTTGTACTGAAACTTATTATTTCACACAAACTTAATATTACTTTTAAACATAACATTTATAATTTGAATTAAATGTTTAATTTATTTCAAAATCATTTGTTAATTGTAAATAAAATTCAATTAAACCTTTAATATATTCTGATTTATTATCGCTTTCAATGTGTTGTTAGCAAAAAAATATACTTGTGTTTGGAAACAGGAATTGCCAGACAATAGACCACTAACTAAATTGTTATGTAAAGCACTTATCAATTCATAGATATGATAAGCAATTCAATTGTCAAATACTGTATTATATATGAAATGTATGTTAGGAGACAATAATAATAGTTATTTCAATGTCACTGTGTAATAAATAGGTTGTAAATTAAGGTAAAAATGCGCTAAATGTCCATCATATACATTATTAATGGGTTAAAATTAATTGTTAATTGTTATAATCAAGAATTCCGTAATCCGTGCTATAATTCACTGCTTATAAAAACTTATACAAATTATCAATCAATACAAAAATAATAATAATAATAATGTGGAGCAAAAGGACTCGGTTTACATTATACGTGATAATATCGGTGATAATACTGTTGCTAATGGACTACTTATATGAGTCCAAACTTCAGTATGTGATTGAAAATGGTTGGCACAGTCTATGGCTGACACTCTTTGTGGTGACAAATCTGATATTTTTGCCGCTATTTATCTACTGTTGCGGTGTCTGTGTATTTGAATGGATACTGTATTTCACGAGCAATGATGGTCATGAGATACGCGGCTTAAGTGGTGGCATTGCAAACAGATCCGGTACACCAAGTAATGGCCACCGACATAGCGATCGACAATTGATAATACCGATGGACACACTATCGCACAATTATCATACTTTGGACACTGTCTCCCATTATAACGGAGACTAATTGCACGAATAATATTGATTATATTCAAGCGGACAATTGGCCAGTGATTGGCTGTATATTTTGAATAGGGGTTACTTTGCAAATCCATGCATTTTAATTAATTTGTTATTTTAATTTATTGAAATTTACATAGATTAAAGTTTTTTACATACACTTATCTCAGAACTTAATTAAATATATGTTAAGATAATTTGATAAAGTTAAAAATATTTATGATAATTTATAACATTATTTATAATAATTATTTGCACAAAATAAGTGAATGTACAGTAATTGATGTTGATTGTTCATGCAAATGATAATAGATTTAATATAAATATAATTATTACATTAAAAATGTTAAGAACAGAATATGGACGTAACAAAATTTGCAACAATAATCATAAAACTCGTAGTAATTAATGGGAAACCATTGCCAACACCAAAATCCGATGTGATCTCCGGTCAGTCTCTCATTGACTCTCATTATAAACAGTCTCTGCCGTAACGACAGCACACTTTTGGTCAATAATGTGTGCAAAAGTGGTCGAAACCGATGGGCCCGTCGGTGGACAGACGCCCACATATAGTTAAGCATCGCGTTTAGAACAATACCGCTTAGAATTGAAATGAAACTAAACAATCGGATCAATACAGGTATACCGGGTCTGAAGGACAGGTATATCCACACATTCTGGAACAACGTTAGGAATATATAGATTATAAATATCAAACAACAATACATGTGATTTAATTTGTGGATTATTTCGCACACAGAGTTGTGCCGATATATTGTGGTCATAAAGTTGCAAATGTTATCCCGTTTAACGCAATTATCAAATATATTGTTAATTTCACGCAATTTATAGATTATATATGAGTTTATTGTGTAGGAAGTGATGCAAACGGTGGCAGTTATGGCCAAAAAGTCTCGGACAGCTATGTATGAAATGAATGCCCAAAATATTACTGCACATATTGTCAAAACATTTACACCATCGTCGAAATAGGCGGTCAATATTGTTGGTAATATAACAAACAGTGAGCATGGGATTAATATTATGTTAGACATGTATTTTGTCAAAAATAATGTTAGAAAATTGACACCATATGCGAGTTTACGATAATTATCAGCATTTATTGGGATGTGATTTCTCTTGTATTTAATATCGTTTATAAATTCAATGATAAACAACTTTTCGTTGACTTCAAAGTATGTAAATAATGACAATACGGAGAGTGACATAATTGCACCAATCATTAACATCATGTAAAATATTTGTGAATTTCCCACTAGATTATTGTCGACACCTGCGAGCAATTGTTTAGTTAGCATATTATTTTGATTAAATATTGCCAATAATGTACACCGTATAAAAAATAATATGGTTATTAATCTCCTAATTATAATCACATGTATTCTGTTTCTTGATTTGAAATCACGGTTAGAGTAGTCGTCAAAAGTGTTGGCAATAAATATATGATTTTGTGAACAGAATTTGTCGATTCTGTTAAACGCCGGAAACGGATCACCGCTTATATTCTTTATGTGTTTTACATGTGATGTAGTCTTCACTCGAAGAATATTCATTGAATACATATTTTTGAATAATTAATTTTAAAATAATTGAGAATATTATACTAATGTTTATACAAATATAAATTATGTTATAAAGTTGTTTGCTCTTGTACAAAATTATCGATAATAAAACAGACGTTGTAATGAATATTTTAATTTAGGATATTTTCAGTTATTCTTTAGTTAAATAAATGTTTGAAGTACAATTGATCATGTTAATCAATAATGAAACGAATACTGTTTAATAGTACATGATATGCAATATTATTATTGAATTCATATAATAAAGATTTTATTTTTGAAAAAGTGAATGTTTGTGCAAAATATCCATGATTTTTTCAGATTATATAATTACAAAATCAATATATGTATATATGATGCAAACGGTGGCAGTCATGGCCAAAAAGTCCCGGACACATATGAAATGAATAAATATTTATATTAACTTATGAATAAATAAATAGTTATAATATAATTAGTTAAAAATAAGTTTAAGTTATCACAAAATCAAAATTATTAGCCGAGGGTTAAAGTCAAAGTGAAAAAAGTGCCGACTAAATTTAAACTAATATAAAGTACATGTATATAAATAAAAAAGAGGGATAAATTAAGACTATTGTCATATTAAAGATAATTAATAAATTTTTTAACTATAATTTTTAAATAATGATTGAACATAATAATTATTAAATATAAAACAAATTTACATACAGTATTATCTAAATAAAATAGTCTATAAATATTTAAACGAAGTACTGATATAGATAAATTGTGCTCTCATTTAATTCAACTACATTACACAAAGATATGAGCAAAATAATATATATTCTAGTCAAACAAAACAATACATTTAGTGTTCTTGATTACTTGGTATATTAAGTATAATTATTTTAGTAACAATTGCACTAAATAATCCTTCAAACGATTAAATAATACTATAAATCCAACATGTTAATTTTTCTTAATTAGATTACAAGCAATAAACCAATCAATATAACATTTTAGGTACATAAGTCATTATTTCTACCATAATCTAATGACTTAGATTCTAAGCTATTAAATAATTATCACAATAATTATAAAAGGTACAAAAAAGAGATTAATTCTAAAAACCGATTTTTGAGTGTAAACCGCACTAAACTATGCGAGTATTGTATCACAAAATAAGTTCTTTGAAATAATAATAGTTTTTATTATAAAAGTCGCGGAAAATATATTCATTTATTATTTGTGATTAAAATGAGTGTAAATTATTGTTCAGTGGTTTGTCTTTTATTATGTTTTGTTAGTTTAGGTTTTGCCGACTATTTGTCATTAGACGGGAATGAATGGATTGCCACCAGTTTTAATAAATGTAATTTTAATTAATAATCGTTATGATGCATAGAATAACCAAGTTTATTTAATTATAATTTACAATTAAATTAAACAGCAATTAAAGTTGAGGCAAAAGTACCGGGAAGTATATACTCGGACCTCAGGAGAGCACAGGTCCTCAAACAGGACTTATTGTATGAGAATCAAGTTTATTTAATTATAATTTACAATTAAATTAAACAGCAATTAAAGTTGAGGCAAAAGTACCGGGAAGTATATACTCGGACCTCAGGAGAGCACAGGTCCTCAAACAGGACTTATTGTATGAGAAAAATGATGTCAACTATCGATGGGTTGCTTACGATAACTGGACATATGAGCGCACATTCACTGGTTTGTAATTTTTCAATTAAAATCTTATAGATTTATTAATTAGTTATTAAATTAACAGTGGATTCAAAACTTCTGGACAAGAAAAATGTCAATTTATTGGCCAATGGTATTGACACAGTTAGCAGTGTTTATATTAACGACCAATTGATCGGCAAAACAGACAATCAATACATTAGATATGTCTGGGATGTGAAGAAAGTGTTAAAATCGGGACAAAACACATTACGACTGGCCTTTCAATCGGCGCCTCTTTATGCCAAACAACAATCGGAGGATTTTCTACAAAAATATAATTATAAAGTCATTCCGGGTATGAATTATAACTTATAATGTTTTTACAATTAAAATGTACTCATTATAACAATGAGTTAAGATTGTCCCGGACCTCAACAGTTTGGAGAGTGCCATGCTCCTTTTATTCGTAAAATGCCCGCTTCATTCAGTTGGGATTGGGTTTGCATTTATATTTTATAAATTAGTTTTAATGTTAATAATATTTATTTTGAACCACATTTAGGGCCCGGCGTTCCCAACACAAGGGATTTGGAAACCCATAGGAATCGAAGCCTTCGATAGTATTCTCATCAGAGATATCACTATTGAGACGATTCCCGACCCGAAGAATGCCAGTCAATGGACACTAACTGTTAATGCATTCGTAGAGTCGGCACCGAATCAACAAATGGATGGCATTTTTGATATTAAATTAGATAATAATGTTTTGATTGATAAACAAAAACAAACAATTAAATCCGATGGTCAGGGAAAGGCTAAAATGATGATTGTCATCTTTATTACTAACATCCAAATCATCACTTGGTATCCAAACGGTGTTTCAGACAATACACAGAAGTTATATCAACTCAATGTCCAAATAGATGTCAATAAAGAAGTTTCGACACAAACCAAGAAAATTGGTTTCCGAACCATAAAACTGGTTCAAAATCCTGTAAAACCCGAAGGCCTGACCTTTTTCTTTGAAGTAAATTCCCAGCCTTTCTATGCGAAGGGATCGAATTGGGTCCCAACCAATGTCCTGACGGAAGACATCACTCCCGAGTACTTGAGACACGTCTTAGGATCAGCTAAACGTGCGAACATGAATATGATGAGAGTGTGGGGCGGAGGGGTGTATGAGTCGGACCTGTTCTACGAGTTGGCCGATGAGTACGGGATTATGATTTGGCAGGACTTCATGTTTGCCTGTTCTCTATATCCGGCGCACAACGAGTTCTTAGATTCAGTTAAAAATGAAGTGATCACTCAAGTCAGGCGCATTCAACACCACCCATCACTCGCCATTTGGACAGGTATTTAAGATAATAACAACATTGATATAAAATTAATTGCAAATAACTGCATTAAGGTAACAATGAGAACGAGATTGCCCTAGCCTGGTGGTGGAACAATGTGCTCAATTACTTCGTCGACTATCGAAAGCTATACGTGGAGACCATCGGGAAGACAGTGGCGGCCGAAGACCCGACCCGACCGTACCTGACGTCGAGTCCGTCCAATGGGTTGGAGAGTCAGAGCGAGAACTATACGGCCAAACATCCGGACGACTGGCGTTACGGCGATACACATTATTACAGCGACGACTCACACCTCTGGGACTGGACTACACTTCAGTCGCCTCAAGACTTCCCTCCAGTGTATAGACGGGTCCGTTGTCTGACCACTTATACACATTCAGAGTGTATCTGAACGTCAATTCTCCCAAATAGTCGTCCCTCACAAACGATATCTAAATTACATGTTATTTCAAAATATTAATTAATTTGCAAAATAGTTAGTAAATTATACCTTAAGACTCTTATCCCTGTCCTCATAAGGAGAGACCAAATGGTTGGCCAAAAAGTGGATGGCATACGAGTGCAACACTTTCCACTTGCCGTTGTGTTCAATGGAAGCCCAGGTGGGCGCCGCCCAGATGTCATTGAGCTGCCAATACAGGGCTCCCATTGTGTTTCCTTTGCCAGTCTTGGGATCAATCGCACGGTTGCGGCGATAAAACTCAGTCCACGTCTTCATTGTCATCGCCTGAAGAATTTGCGACGAATAGACAAAATCACTCAATCTATCGATCCCTCCACTCGACGGTTGTTTCATGTAATACCCTATAATTGTGAGCAAATAAAACAACCAGGTTAATTTTGTTTACCATAATGAAATATCACTTAGAAAACATGATTACCAATACGATAATTAATGATATCGTCTTCATAGGTGCCCTTATGCTGATGCCATTGGAGTTCGGGTGTCAACGGGTAGGTCAGGTGTTTTTCGTCAAACGCTTCCAGCAGTGTCTCAATGGATGGATAGGATTGGTAGCCGTACTCCGAGGAGAACCGGGGGCTCGACAGCGATGTCCAGTCCCAGAGGGAGGAGTTGTCGTTGTAATAGTGAATATCGCCGTACAGTNAGTTGTCGTTGTAATAGTGAATATCGCCGTACAGTTCGTCATCCGGTTTACTAGAGGTGTAGTTCTCTTTGATTGTCTCCAAACCGTTGGACGGACTCGAAGACACGTACGGACGGGTAGTGTCCTCTGCGGCCAGTGTTTTGCCGATAGTGTTCACATATAGGGCCCTATAATCTGGCCAATAGTTCTTCACGTCATACCACCAATATTTCAATCCGTACTCATTCTCGTTGTTCCCTATGATAATAAGTAGTTTAATGAGCTCGTGATGGTTTAGTGCCAGGGTTTGTGTCACATACCGGACCAAATAGCTATGGATGGGTGGTGTTGAATACGCCTGACTTGAGTGATCACTTCATTGTTAACTGAATCCAAGAACTCTTTGTGGGCCGGATATAAAGCGCAGGCAAACATGAAGTCCTGCCAAATCATAATCCCGTACTCGTCGGCCAACTCGTAGAACAGGTCCGACTCATACACCCCTCCGCCCCACACTCTCATCATATTCATGTTCGCACGTTTAGCTGATCCCAAGAGATGTCTTATGTAATCGGGAGTAATGTCTTCCATCAGGACATTGGTTGGGATCCAATTCGATCCCTTCGCGTAAAAGGGCTTTGAGTTTACTTCGAAGTAAAAGGTGAGGCCTTCGGGTTTTACGGGATTTTGAATCAGTTTAATGGTTCGGAAACCAATTTTCTTGGTTTGTGTCGTAACTTCTTGATTAACATCTATTTGGACATTGAGTTGATATAACTTCTGTGTATTGTCTGAAACACCGTTTGGATACCAAGTGATGATTTGGATGTCAGTGATAAATATAACAATCATCATTTTAGCCTTTCCCTGACCATTCGTTTCAATCGTTTGTTTTTGTTTATTAATTAAAACATTATTATCTAATTTAATGTTCAAAATGCCATCCATTTTTTGCTTCGGTGCCGACTCTAAGAATGCATTAACAGTTAGTGTCCATTGACTGGTATTCTTCGGGTCGGGAATCGTCTCAATAGTGATATCTCTGATGAGAATACCATCGAAGGCCTCAATGCCTATGGGCTGCCAAATACCCTGTGTTGGGAACGCCGGGCCCTAAACAGCAACATATAAGACAACATTTTGTATAAGTTTTAGTTTATATAAATATAATACTGATTTACAAACCCAATCCCAACTATACGATGCTTGCATTTTACGGATAAAATTAGCATGACACTCTCCGTGGGCGGCATCGCCACCATTACATGCTATAAATTATATATAAAATTATTAAACAAAATTAATATGAATGATGTATTACTACATACGGGGCCTAACGTTATATTTGTATTTATTGAAAAAAATTTCCGATTCTTGTTTCCCATACAACGGCGCCGATTGAAAGGCCAGTCGTATTGTGTTTTGTCCCGATTTTAACACTTTCTTCACATCCCAGACATATCTCACGAACTGATTGTCTGTTTTGCCGATCAATTGGTCGTTAATATAAACACTGCTAACTGTGTCGATACCATTGGCCAATAAGTTCACTGTTTTCTTGTTTAGTAATTTTGAATCCACTATTGATTTTATAATTAGTTAATTAATTAGAAAACATAAATATTTTAATGACAAACCAGTGAATGTGCGCTCATACGTCCAGTTATCGTAAGCAACCCATCGATAGTTGACATCATTTTTCTCATACAATAAGTCCTGTTTGAGAACCTGTGCTCTCCTGAGGTCCGAGTATATACTTCCCGGTACTTTTGCCCCAACTTTAATTGCTGTTTAATTTGATTGAAATTAATAATTAAATAAACTTGGTTATTCTATGCATCATAACGATTATTAATTAAAATTACATTTATTAAAACTGGTGGCAATCCATTCATTCCCGTCTAACGACAAATAGTCGGCAAAACTTAAACCAACAAAACATAGTAAAAGACAAACTACTGAACAGTAGTTTACACTCATTTTAACGTTTGGCAAAGTCCGACTAATAAAAGCAATATTTAGGTGACTTTTATATTAAAAACTAAAGCTGAACTATGTCATTTTTCAAGGATTTAGTACCGTTTATACCAAGAATGTAATTTTTTGGTACACTTTATAATCATAATTATTATGATATGGATTAGATTATGCTCTGCTGGGATGTGATAGGATATGCTGGCAATAAACAGCATATCCTTCGAAAACAATAGCAAGAATGTGCTTATAATCTGTGGACTCTTCACATTTGTTACCATAGGATTAATAATAACAAATATTTTATATTAAAATTAATTTCAAAATTATAGCTAAAATTATATTTATTTTATGTATAAATTTTTGTATTAAATAATCTTATTTACTTATTGTGATCTTATTGTGATTTATAAATACTAAGTAATTATATTACACTATTTTTATAATATTAATAATTTTTAATTATTAATTATAATTAAAAAATTAAATTGAAAAATATAAAATGTTAGATTGACCCGGACGTGATTTGAACACGCAACCTTCTGATCTGGAGTCAGACGCGCTACCGTTGCGCCACCGAGTCTGTTATGTAACCCCACAATAACTGTATATTTATTGTAAATGTAAACATTTTATATTCACCAATCATGGTTTGTAATAATTAATTTTTATAAGGTAAATCTTTGTAGTTTTATTAATATTTTTTAATTATTTCTTTCAAATAACATTTAATTGTTTATTTTTGTTTACGTTAATGCATTAAAATAGTGTACAGTACTATAGAGTAGTTTGCATAATATGGTCATTCTATCAAGGGTAAATAAAGGTAATAGTCAAATATTTGCTGTAATAAAGTTGGGAACATTTATTTAATTAACATTTTTAATATTTTAAAATATTTTGACAAAAGTGTTAAACAATATCTGTGAGTGTCTTAAGGCACTCTAATAGAAACTATAGCAAAAGTGACTGTAATCTGAGCCAAACGTAAAGTTATCAGAAAAACGGCAGTTTATATTTCTTAGGCAAAAGGTACTTAACTGGGGATTAAGGGCTAAACCCGAATAAGTCCATCACAACAAACGCTGCGATCGATTGCGAAGACAATGTGATCTCAAAGACATTGTTATCATTAGATTCAGACACAGACTTCTTCTTCACTTCAATTAGTTTGACGTTTGGTTTCACGAGTTTTGAGTTTTTTGTTTCCGTTAATAACATAAAGTTATTTGCCTTTAAATGAGTTAAATATAATAATTAAAATACAATTTCATTAATAATTTATATTTACATCAATTTTATGATCAATATTATTGACATTGAAAGAGAGGAGGCATTCAGTCCTGTCTTTACAGCCGGCTTTGGATAAGAGATCCGATATTGGGATCGAGTAGAAGATATCGGCAGAAAAACTATTGCTCTTAAACTCTCCCGCAATGGCATGGATTGGATCTATTTGTGACCACTTATACACTTTGATTGTGTATTTAAATGATAACTCTCCCAAATAGTCGTCTCTTACAAACGATATCTAAATTATATGTTTATTAAAGATTTATGCGAATTAATTAAAAACATTTGTTTTATACATACTTTAAGACTCTTATCCCTGTCTTCATATGGAGAAACCAAATGGTTGGCCAAAAACTGGATGGCATACGACTGGAGCTGAAAGGTGAACGGCAACACAAGTTACCTCCGGGTCCTCCCGCGGCCGGTATATAGCAACTCAACGGTTATGTCCCGAGGGTAACATAAAGGTAATGGTCAGAACCCTAGTTAAAGCGCTAATGCCCGATAAAATTCTGTCCACGTTTTCATAGCCATCGCCTGTACTATTTGGGAAGCGGTGACAAACTCATCTAATCTATCAATTCCACCACTCGATGGTAATCTTAGATAATAATCTTTATATGAAAAAATTAATGTCAATTAAAACTACCAAAACAATGTACACGTTGTAAAAATACCAATATGCTGGATGATAAAATTGTCTTCGTAGTCGCCTTTGTGCTGATGGTGTTTGACAGCGGCGGTCAACGGGTAGATGAGGTCCTTGTCGTCAAACGCTTCCCGCAGTGACTCAATGGATGGATAGGATTGGAAGCCGTATTCCGAGACAAACTTTGGCGACTGAAGTGTAGTCCAGTCCCAGAGGTGTGAGTCGTCGCTGTAATAATGTGTATCGCCGTAACGCCAGTCGTCCGGATGTTTGGCCGTATAGTTCTCGCTCTGACTCTCCAACCCATTGGACGGACTCGACGTCAGGTACGGTCGGGTCGGGTCTTCGGCCGCCACTGTCTTCCCGATGGTCTCCACGTATAGCTTTCGATAGTCGACGAAGTAATTGAGCACATTGTTCCACCACCAGGCTAGGGCAATCTCGTTCTCATTGTTACCTTAATGCAGTTATTTGCAATTAATTTTATATCAATGTTGTTATTATCTTAAATACCTGTCCAAATGGCGAGTGATGGGTGGTGTTGAAT